TAACGAGATTCACATTCTATCGAATCTATAGACGATAATCTAGAAATAGTAGAGCAACTTTCGTTCCGTTTATTAATTTTAACGAACCAGCCGGTATTTTATACGTAGAATATATTTTCTATTACTTGAACGTTGAACGAATCAATCGAAAATGTAACGTTACGACACAAACCAGACCCGTCGACCGACAACTTAACTTCCGTATTCAGTGTTTAAGAAAATGAAATAAATGATACAGATATTTTTCTCATTTTACATATTTTCGCAGGTAACGAATAAAATTATGTAAAGGCAGAACAGAAACAGTGGCTGACTATTTCCCGTTCCTTTACTCGGTCACCATACACCCTCTTACGAAATCAACGATAATCCCCTCGATTTTTACGTACAACTAACCATCCAAATTTTATTCTAATTTCCATAGAATACATTTGAAAAATTAACGAGTCCAGTAGTATCGGCGATCACGGTATTGAATAGTATTTAATTCGACGTGGAGCGGATTTAGTTGTGTACGTTAATGATTTCAAGTGCGTAGTTCACGGTTGGCCCGTAGAAGGGAAAATGGCGCCCCGATCGGCTGGGCTGCCACGTAATGTTGTGTGTCGCCTCGACGAGGTACGTCTCTTCGACAATTAACGGCGAATTACACCGTAAAAAGTGCAATGTACGTCACTTGGTGCAGTGAGATCTAAAGTTTTGTTTCTTCTTGCCGCGGTAATCTCGTCAAGAAGGTAAGGGGAGTTTCCGGTCGAGTGAAAACCCATCGACAAGCTTGCTGTGCACAGCACCCCAACATCGACGTGACGTTTTAACCTTTCGCTCTTTTCTTGTCTTCTTAATCTTTAGAAATTCCTGCAGCTCCCTCCTGCCCCTCCTGCTCGAATCCTGGATCCTGAATTGCAGATTTTTTTCGTCCTTTTCCCACCACGAATTCTTGTTCCGTGAGTAATTATGTATTTACCTCCCGATCGCGAACTTCCTTCGTGTCATCGTTATTTTATTTCATTATATTTACTGGTTCTGTGATCTTGTTTTCGTCGTTTTGTCATTTTTTCTTTTTTTCATTTTTTCTTAGCATTGCTTTATTATCCCCCTTGACTTTTATCACAGTGTATTACCTTGTTGTTCTTGCCTCTTCAATTGGAGCATATTTCTTTTTTTCTGATATTTCCTTGAAACTTTTGGAGATACTTGACTGTTTTATGACTTGTCGTTTCTTAATCTCTTATTCTCTGTTCAATGGTTTAATTTTATTACACATCGTATGTGAAATTGATATTTCAATTCGAGAAGTCAGAGTTGTTTGATTTGGTTTATTCGCGATTATGCTTGTATCGGTTTATTGTTATTGAATTGGTGAAAGGTTTCGGTTCATTGGACTTGTTTCTTCAAAATTGTTTTACAACGAGAACAACAAGGAATAAGGATCAATGGTTCAAATTTTATCTGACGTACGACCAGTAATATTTCTTGAGTTTCGAATGGAAGAACCTGAACCATTTGTTATGTGTACATATGTGTATCTTTGTCCTTGTAGTTTGTGTAATACTCGTAGATATAAGGATGTTGTATAGATTAAATTAAATTAAATTAAATTTCATATTTGAAATTACCAAAGGAAATTTCTCTAGTTTCACTAGAATATTGAAACACATTTTCTTTGTTCAGTGACTTTTGGAAATTAGCAACATGTCTCAACCGACAGACTATCAATACCGTACGTATGGTAACGAGGGCAGCTTGAAAGGTGGTCCCCGTCAAATGGTAAATGGGCAGGCAAGCGTGACCCACCATAATGGTATGCAGTCTACAAATTATAACTTCACAGGTATGTATTAGAGTAAATTAAGAAATGTACAAAGTAACTTGGAATCTTGAGGCTAAACTGTGCGAATAAATTATAATATTATATCAGTAATTAAATATTTTTATTTCAGGTACACCATCGTCACAATCATCGCGAGATCCATCTAGAGAAACGTCGAGAGACCCATCTCCAACTCCATATCTTTACAACCAATATAGATCACCATTACCTCGTCCACCAATGCCTCCACCGATTAATGGTCAACAAAACACAATGAATCCTGTAATGCCACTGCCAGCAAGGTTACCTCCAACTCAGCAATACCCACCGATGTATAATGTTCAGAATCAATTTCAAGTGCCTGTGACACAGCAGCAGCAGCCACCTCCAAGAGATGAATTAGCAAATCCACAAGTTGAACCGCCCAAGCCGCCAATATCTGGATTCGATCAGAATCTGTCACTCAATTCAGCGGCTGAAACAAAACCGTACAATGTCGATAATCAAGATAACGTGGTGCAAGGAATACAGCCGTATTCACAGGAACAAAATCAGTTTCCAAATCCTATGCAACCACCCAGGGGACAACCGATTTACCAACAAAATTTCGGAGGACAACGAATGTATGCCAAAAATGCGCATGGTATGCAACATGCCGCTGCTGCTGCTGCTGTACCAAATCCAATGTCTTACGGAGTGGTTGGAAGCGGGCCACAGTTGCAAGCGAAGCCTTCTTCAACTTCAACTGTCGGATATCCTGGACAGCAGCGAACGGTATGATATTTTTTAATTGCATTTCAATTATACTGAAATCATTGTACAAGTTGTGTAGAATTAATAATTTGAACTTTTGTTTTAGTATCCAATTCAACCGCCAAATCCAATGAACATGCAGCCTGATCCGTTGAACAAACGCTACCCAGAACCGTACCCTGATCAAATGAATCAATTAAACAGTCAGATGAACATGATGTCAGTGTCACAAGCTGGTTACAATAAACTATGGGTACGTCGTTGAAGTGAAATATAATATAATTTTGTCAATTTGATGGTAGAGTACATACATATAGAGTATTTGTCTTTTAGGGAATGGAGACTATCGATCTTTTGCAATGTAGAAACGTTTTACCCCCGGAGAAAGTGGAACCACCAAAAATTAAACTTCACAGAGAGTTCTTGGACAGTGTTAATTGTAGTCCGGAGTAAGTACCTCGGAGCAAATAATATCTATAGTATTGTATACAGATTGAATTAGCAAAATTTATGCTTTACGCATTTTTCCAGTATTTTTCGGTGTACGCTCACCAAGATCCCGGAATCCAATGGTCTACTACAAAAATCTAGATTGCCTTTAGGAGTTTTAATTCATCCGTTCAAAGATTTGAATGTACGTGTACGTTTCGCGACTATAAATATTTTACATGTAATTATCGGTGAACCGAATGTTTGAAAAATTTCTATATTTCGTACAGCATCTACCGGTAATACAGTGCAGCACGATTGTGCGGTGTCGTGCTTGCAGAACGTATATCAATCCATTCGTATACTTCAACGATTCAAAGAGATGGAAATGCTGCCTCTGTTACAGAATAAACGAATGTAATTATAAACTCGTAAAATTATTTGCTGTAAGATTATTTTTCGATTACATATAAGCATGGGGTTTTCAGTGCCAGAAGAATTTCAATTCGATCCCCTAACGAACACTTACGGAGATCCATCGAGACGACCAGAAGTGAAAACCAGCACAATCGAATTTATTGCACCTAGCGAATACATGGTAAGACATTGTCGTATTATCTGGTATCAAGAAAGACGGAGTAATTAGAAGGAAAACTGAATATGTTACAGTTGCGCCCACCTCAGCCAGCAGTGTATCTGTTTGTTCTGGACGTTTCGAGGTTGGCAGTGGAAAGCGGTTACTTGAACGTAGTATGCAATGCGATATCAGAGGAATTGTCAAGGCTGCCGGGTGACGGAAGAACGCAAATTGGATTCTTGGCAGTGGACTCTGCGATACATTTTTTCAGCATACCCGACAATGTATCACAGCCTCAGGAGATGATTATGCTCGATATAGATGGTAAAGTGATCCATATTTAATACACAGTGTAGAGTAGTGGAGATTTTGCATTTGACGGATAATCAAACGACACGGGGGATCTCTTTTTTCTTCAGATGTTTTCCTTCCGTGCCCTGAAAATCTAATAGTCAATTTAAAGGAGCGTGAGGAATTAGTCCGAGATTTATTGGCTCAGTTACCTACTAAATTCCAAGGAACTCACGACACGAACAGTGCTTTGGGTGCAGCATTACAAGCTGCGTATAAGCTTATGGCAAGTATCATCGAAGAAACTGTGTTCGTTATTTAGGAAAAGGATTTCTTCCGAGCGATCGAGTAAGTCAGACGTGTCAACTTTATTTCAGTCGCCAACTGGTGGACGCGTGACCGTCTTCCAGACTTGTTTGCCAAACGTGGGTCCTGGACTGTTACAAGCACGGGAGGACCCTAACAGCAGAGCAAGCAAGGATGTGCCACACTTGAATCCAGTTACGGACTTCTACAAGAGATTGGCATTGGACTGCAGTGGCCAGCAAATCGCAGTCGATTTATTCCTATTGAATAGCCAGTATTGTGATTTAGCCACGCTTTGTACGCTATTTTCAATATTGAAATATTATTCTGAGCGCTCACCATGGAAAACTGTGAGGAACGGGCAGGATAATTTTCATTTTCATTTTCCAGCGGGTATGTGCAAATTCTCTGGGGGCTGCATATACCACCTTCCATTGTTCCGGGGATCGAAACCGCAGAACGCAGAGACTCTCGATAGAATACTAAGGCGTTATCTGGCCAGGAAGATCGGTTTCGAGGCGGTGATGAGAGTACGATGTACGCGCGGCTTGAGCATTCACACTTTCCACGGGAACTTCTTCGTCAGATCCACCGATCTCCTCAGTTTGCCGAACGTGAACCCAGACGCCGGTTTCGGTATGCAAATCTCCATAGAGGAGAACCTCTCGGATGTCCAAAACGTTTGTTTCCAGGCAGCTTTACTTTACACGTCGAGCAAAGGTACGAGTTACACTCGAAGCGAAGGATACAACACGGTACGACAAATAAAAATCAACAAAACAAAACATCTCCTGGGAAATGTTTTAGGTGAAAGAAGAATCAGGGTGCACACACTGTGTCTACCGGTCGCTTCGAACCTGGCGGATGTCCTTCATTCCGCTGACCAACAGTGCATAGTAGGCCTACTGTCGAAAATGGGTAGGTGATTCATTCGAAAAGCAATCGTACGTTCGAATCGGTTAATCCTGTGATAAGTGCTCGATTCATTGGGATATCGTTGCTTTCGCAGCTGTGGACAGGTCTCAGCAATCCTCTTTATCCGACGCGAGAGACGCTTTGATAAACGTGGCCATAGACGTCTTGTCAGCCTATAAACTGACGCAGCCAGCGATGTCCGGTGGTCTCCTGGTTCCTGGAAGTTTAAAACTACTGCCTCTTTATATCATTTCCCTGCTCAAATGCGTGAGTGTCTATCGCGAAAGATTCCGTTGACTTTGAAGTTGAAAAGTAACCGTTGTTTTTCTCGCGTCCTCCAGATTGCCTTCAGATCAGGAATGAGTACGAGACTCGACGACCGGGTATTCGCGATGTGCCAGCTAAAAACTCTGCCACTGTTCCAACTGGTCCAGATCATTTATCCAGATCTCTATCCAGTGCACGCGCTCGAGGACCGGAACACGAAAGAAGTCGACGGGAAGCTTTGCCCGCAACCGCCCAGACTGCATCTGTCTGCCGAGAAGATACATTCTAGGGGCGCTTTCCTCATGGACGCCGGCGACCGGATATTCATTCTGATCGGCAAGAATATTCATCCCACGTTCTGCTGCAACGTACTCGGTGTCACCGCTTTCGCTTCGATACCAGAAGAATTTGTAAGTACTGGAACAAGCGTGTGCTAGTTTTGGTTCTGGTATTACGGTCTCTAATGAAAAAAATTGCCACGAATTGCCGTGGGGAACCGAAATAAATGAAATAAATGTTTCCAGTACGAGTTACCGGAGATCGACACGCTAGATAGTGAAAGGTTGCGCAATTTTGTATTTAGCTTGCAAGAAGAGAAACCCTATCCCGTTTCTGTACAAATTATTCGGTAAGGGAACGTCGATGTTTCACGCGAGAATATTATTGATATCCGCCTGACGATTTCGTTGGTCGTTTCCAGAGACGACAGCCACTTCCGAACGCTCTTCATCGAACGATTGGTCGAGGACCGGTTCGAGTCCGCGCTGAGCTACCACGAGTTCGTGCAACACCTTAAGACTCAAGTGAAATAATGATAGACGAACTTTCGAGCTTGGCTGAACAACGGAGGAAGGAACATTGACACGTAACAAAGCCATTGTTGATTACAGTGAAAGTGTTTAGCAATCGTGAACTGTGTTAAAGAAAAATTTGAACTTGGAAATGATTGTTTAATCGGTTGATTAGAATGGAACACTTAGAGATATAAAGTCCATATATATATATATGTATATTTATATGTATATACCTCTGCTGCGTATATGCATATACATATACGTATATATATGAAAGAGTATACACATTTATATGTGTATGTACATATACGTGTATGTATATTGGTAGATATATATACATGTATACATTTATGTACGTATACGTATGTAGGAATGAATGTTATTATTGTTTTAAGAGGTGTTGAAGCATTTAAATATAATTCAATTGTAATTATTATTAATTATTATTATTATGATTTTACTATCACAATGATTATTATTATTATTATAATGATATTGTTACCTTTGTTAATCGCAGTACTTTCTTTTTTTAGACTCATCGGGTTTTCTGTAAATGCTTTTCTATTCCAGAAATTAAACGTCAATAGAATTTTCTACAACGTCCGGACATTTCTTGTACCGTTTCACAGAGATTTCCTACTTCGAGAGAAGCATTTTATGAAACTGTTTTCGGTCTTTTTTTAAATTAATTTTATACGATCTATACGTTTTAAGTGTAATATACTTTTCGATGTAACTATAGTTAGCCAAATTTCTTTCTTTCGGACCGATATGATTTTGTAAATAATTCATTCTATTGTTCTGTGTCTGGCATGAAGATTTTACAATAAATTGAGAATCGAACGTATCGGCCTGATAGCGCGAAGCAATATACATGTACGTACAAAGTATTTCATCGGGTATAATATAATCGGTGGCAACAAATTCCAGGAACCAAAATAAGATGAATCGAAATTTTAATAATTATTATCCGTTTTTTCCTTCTTTACGAACGCGTTACGATTGGAACGGTTAATATGAAAGAAAAAAAAACAAAAACAAAAACATTAATGTAGTAGACACGGCGATAGAATAAAAGTATTATTGCTAACGTAGTGAAAAATGTGAAACGTCACATGCCATATTATTTTCCTTAAGAGATTCTTGTATTCTTCGAATACGTGTTCCTTTTACGAAGCATTCTGTACAGAAATAGAATCTATAGAATGCTGTATCAAACATGGTACGAAAGTATAATTATTTTCTTGATAATCGTACGAAGAAATCACTTACTGATGGAATAACGATATTGTTACTTGTTGCTAACGTTAACATAACTAGTATGCTACAATACATTAGTGTACAGGGTGCCTTTTAGAACGTATTACGGAATTCACAGGTACTAACGAAGAATCGGTTAATAATTTCATTCTAACGTTAGACCGCGTCGGTTCGAAATGAAATTCTCTTCTCCGACTTTGATCAACAGCGCAACTGAACGGCATCAGTAAGTTCGTTTCTTGATAAGACTATTGGTGGAATAGTTATACTTGCTTATCATTTCTTGTAAGACACGCTGTGTATGCGAGTATGTATATAGAGATACGTACGTATTCATACATGTGTGTATATTATTCATGTATATATGTATACGTATAGACTGATCTCGAATTAACAAAGCGAAAGGAAGGTATTCGCGGAGGAACAATTTTTTTTATGGACGCAACTTATCATAGAAATGTATTGTACAAACGTAGGGATTTTACATGGTTACAGAAAGTTACACCAGAGAGAACACGAACATAGGTTTCGTCGGATTACAAGCATGCTCTGAATCGATAAATTGATCAAAGGTAGTTGACTAAAGAGATTCGAAATTCAGGAAGATTTCCCATTTAGTTTCGAGATACATAAGGATACAGGTGCTTATTATCATTTGTAAATGTTTCATTCGTGTCGCAGACATTTTCTAGATAGTTTCAGACTCTTCGTTATCAAATGTACGGAACACGACGTTAAATACAGCAGTCGAACACGTTCGAAAGAAAGAATCGTGTGCAACTATAAAGAAATTGCGTCTTCGACGGTAAGATGTACGTTCGTTGGATGCGTAATTATACACGGATAAGCGTATTGCACCCGGTTAATTCGAGATAGGTCTGTGCTAGAAACTCGGGGATTTATAAAATCCCGCGTCTCGCACCACCAATGCTGCCAAAACGAAGAAGCGTGCTCGACACAGACGATTCTCTTTCGTAGAAGGAACGAGGAAAATAGGGATAGACGGATGATGTAAATCGTTCACGATTTCGAACTGCACCGCAAACAGTGCAAAAATAAAACACTTTATGCCGTAACGAGCTTTCTCAATTTTCTTCATTACAATCGTGTAAATCGTTTCGTTTCCGATCTCATTCGTTTAGCAAGTTGGCAACACTTGAAATTCAAACCGACCGCTTTTCCGTTAGCCACGACTTCCAAAATGGCGCCGATCGTCGAAGAGCCGGAATGCACGCTTCACGAATATTTGAATGTTCTATTCGACAGAAAACAATGGGCAAGGTAATTCGATGAAAATCACATTTCGCTATCAATATACGATACATTAATCCACCATTCGAAATTTCTTAACCAACTATCGAGATCTCTCCGTCTTGATCGGGTTCGAAAAGAAACGGACCATAGCCTATGCCGTCGCGCTTGAAAGAAGACGCATCCCGCGTCGAGGAAAACTCGAGATATTATTCTCCGAAATATTCTGGGTCACGGTGTACGTTTAGGAAATTCATAATCCTAAATAAAAGGAGAGGAATTTCAAAAGTTTCCTAAATTTCCTAAATTTAATATGAATTCTTGGCTGATAAGTTGTTCGTTTCCAGCTTCACCAACCCCCCGCAAGATGGCGGTGGACGTTCCCAGGTGAGCGAGCGCATTGCGCACGCGTGCGACCCGCTCGAGCCACGCTCGGCTCGCTGGTGTCAGTAGTGGTGCGGCGCTTGTGGTGTTTGGTTGGTGTCATTCATCGCAGCCGAGACGACAGACCGGTGAGCGCCTTTTCCTTTCAAACTTATCATTTCGCGAATAGTTGACTACCCTCCTTGTATCGCGCGGACAAGTCACGCCGGCAAACGACGATTATTTTTCCTTTTTCCATTTTTCATTTTGCTTTTCCTTTTTCTCTTTTTTTTCGTTTCGTTTAGTTGCCGGTTATTTGGAGAAATGAAAAATCTGGCCGTTTCTCCGTGGTCGTTGGTACGCGCGTACACATTAGATTTTTTAATAGTGCTTCGGCTCGACGTACATATTCCTCCCCCGTTGCCCCTGGCTCACGCCATTTTGACTCGTCCTTACCGATCGATAGGATGAAGATAATTGGAGGTATTACCGACGCGGACGATTGTGTTTCGTCGAATGAAAAAAATGGAGCTAATTATTATCGCTTATCGATGGACAGGTGGCGCTCGACTCCCCCCGCGAGGGAATGCTGTGTTGTGTATTTATATTTTCCTCTTTCTGTTTCTTTCCTTTGATCTTTTAATCCGTCTTATTGTCTTCTCGTCGGCGCGTCCCGCTCGCATCCTTCGCTTCCCGTTATCTCTATTTACAATTGAAATGCGACTACCGCCCCGGTTCCTTTTTGTTCTCAGCTTTGCTTGCTCGGAATTAATTAACTGGCTGAAACGGCATGCCTGGATAACATTTGAAAATAACGAACGCTTTGGGAGAAGATTGCCGAGTGTCCCGGATAATTCGGCTTTTATAGAATCGTTTCAGGATCCTTTGCAACTGGAGGATTTATATTAACGTTGATACTTTGATTTCCATACTTTTGTATTTATACGGGCAAGTAGTTGGAATCTTTTTCAATGGAATCTTGCACGTTCAATTATTATAAAAGGGGAATACTCGCGCGTATTGTTGCACGAATATTATTTATTCAATATTTTCTCCCTTCTCGTCTCAAGTTCACCGCATAAATTGTTTTTATTGATTTTGGATAATCCGAATATCAATGCGCGCAGCCTTAACGCGTTAATGTGGCCACGATTTGCCCAGATTCACTGGTAATCCGAATGATTTCGAAACGAATTTGCATGAATCGTTACGATTTCCGAGGTGTACCCATCGCGCCACGTTAATTCCGGTTAATGATCGTGCACAACGGAACGAATTTTCGAAAATAGGGATTGTCGTAGGTGTCGAGTGCCTCGCGTGTACCGCCAGAGGGTAATTGGCATAAATCACATCTGCGCTAATGTTATTTACATAGGATTCCCCCATATAGAGATCGCTCGCGGTATGGAACGGAATTTCCTCGTCCCCGAGCGAATTAAACATTGAGATATTATTTCAATTGCTAAACATTATTTACTTTATTATTCGAATTAATCCAGGAAACTTTTGTAATTGATTTATACGTACAGAAATAATGGGAAATTCAATGATGGACCATCAAACGAATTATTATAAAAAACGGCGGCAGGTAGTAATTAGAAGAACGCAGGGAAAATTGTAATTACGAACGTTTATAATTCTCATTTCTTTCTACAGAGGAAAAAAGAAGCAAAAAACACGAGAGAGAAAATGTTATTTATTCATAGTGGTGAAATGTGTTTGCGCCCTTGACACATTATACATTTCCCAGGGGTGTAATGTCATATTTTTCCAGCCCCAACGTTACATTTTAATGGGATTCCCGCAGATCCGGCAGATTTTAAACGCGTCGCGTTTCAAGTTTCGCTTGGAGTTTACGAGAACTTTTCCAACATTTCCTTAAACACGTTGAATATTTAAATGAATCATTTATTCTCGTTGTGAACGAATGTTTAATAATCCAACAACCAATGGACATCCTTGTTTCGAAACGAATGAATTTTAAATGAAATTTTCTTGGACCGATCAGTTGCAAAATGAGAAAATTCTGAAGGTACGAAGTCTCAAATTTATTATCTAAACGCGATAAACGTATAATATAGTTGTATGTATGTAAGTATAGAAGAAATCTGATGTGCTGTTAGCCGCGTATCCATTTAATGGTAATCCGAGTAATTTACGGTGCCGGTTATTATTTTTATCCTCGCCACAGCTGTTACCATTATCGGTTCCATTTTCCTCTTACCGTTTTCTTTGTTATTCATTCCAGACGACCGCTATAAATATTTCTATAAAGAAGAAGTAGCTGAAACATGGCTGCAATGTACCGGGTGTGCCGAACACCCGGTTGCGATGTCCTCGGTCAGGAAAAATGAGGAAAGTTACGGATTCTTGGAGTTGCCGTAACTCCGTGGGAAAAAATCATACGGCGTTCCTCCAGGACTCGTTTGAAAGTTTCGAGTCCTCGCATCGACGCTGCCCAGTGTCGCTTCCCGGGAAAAATTGTACATCGTGTAGCGAACGAAAGTCGGCAACACCGGAGAAAAATCTCGTCAATGTCTAATTTCTTTCCGGGAGACGACACCGAGCGATGTCATGAAAGTATGGGCAAACAAAAATTGCAATAACTTGGCAAGAAAAGATAGTAGCATACAATTGACGCGCTCGTTGTAAAGAGGAAACCACGATCTACGGGACCGCGGCGAACGAAACGAAGAAAAGAGTTGTCGACAGTCCCCGCGAGTATTCGAAGTAGAAGAGTTTCCGTAAGAAAAGTATCTTCGCCTTTTTATTCGGTGTACACGGTGTAGAATACTTTTCTAGAAAAAACCGCCGGACAGTGTTAAAGTAGAGGCTTCACGGTTTAAAACGGGCCGCCGAGGTATATTATCGTGCGATCTTTTCCCGCAAAGTTACAGCAGTTGGAGAAATCGATAAATTTTCATCGAGTGTCGAGCGTTTGATTTAAAAACAAGGAAACCGCGTTGCGCGTATTTGTTTGGAGTGTGCCATCCGAGGCGGGCTGTCCAGAAGAATTGCAAGCCTCAAGAAGGGGACAAAGGAAACAAATGAAGCGAAAAGAAACAATGCTGGTCATTAAAACACGTGACGCGGGGTCACGTGAACCGTGAAGTATCAGCTGCAACGTTGGTCGTCGCGTAATGCGATAAATCACCAGGGAGGAGCGTGGAGATTTATAATTTTACGTAAACATTAGCCGAGAAAAATTCTTGGAAAATTGTTTAATTAACGTACTGCGTCAGAGAGATGTAGACTGAAATAATTCACTTTTGCCTCGCGTAGCTTTTGCGAGGATTTCATTCTGTTCTACCGAGTTGGATGAACAGAATGATAGTCGAAGTAAAACTCAATTTTACTAGTTGGACCGAAGAAAAAATTAGGCGTTACTCCTCTGTTGTCGGTTGACGTGTCTCTGTCAATTGTCTATTTTTCACTTGTATTAGATTGTCGATCGATGGAACGGTTCCGAAGAGCCGAGTCGCAGAATCCATCGTTATTGTGCGAGTTAGAAAAAACGATATGTAACTGAAGATTCTTGCGAGGGTCGTTTATTTGTTTCGAGGGACTAATTGGAGCGGCATGGTTCCGCCGGAGATCAGTCGATTCCGCGTACGCTGTGTGCACGCCTGTACCTTGGCCAGGGGTGGTCGGGTCAAAAGTTCAGGGGTTCACATGGAGGTGGTACACGCTCGGTGGTTTCTTGGCGCACTTTCTTGGCGCGATCGTTGCGCACAAATATATTCCTGCTGTCGCCGTAAATGTACTCGAGCGTGTTCAAACCCTTCGACGGGAAATAGCTGTGCAGTTAACCCTTTATAAAACACCCGTTTGGGTATTTTGCAATGTTTGCTCACGTTTAAGCTGCTGAAATGCTAGAAATCGTGAAAAATTGAAATACTAGGAATCAAATTCAATTTCAGTGAAACAGAATTATTGGAAAACCTGATCGATGGGTTTCCGGTAGATAAAGAGTTATTAGAAAATCTCGAGCAACATCCACGCAAGATTGCACGGGAAGATAGTGAAATTTTGGAAAGTTGGAGCACATAATGGCAACGGTATCGTCACCGCGAGTCTCTTATCGCCGCGATCGTCCGTCCGGCGGAGTTCCACGCGTATCGATAAAACTTCCTTTATCGTCGAAACTTTCCGACCGCCCCGGCCCGCCCCCGCATCAGGAGCACTACGTTCCGTAAGAGTGTAAACCGCGACCCGGTTATATCGGCCGGAATTGTCTGGCGAACAAAAATTCCGACGCTGAAGATCTCTCTCGCTCGAGAAAATACGATGGCAGCGACGACCCTCTGGCGTTCCTCCCACGCGGAAATCCCACCGAGATATCACTAGTTTTTGGATGCCCTTGGGCAGCGCTACGGCGCGCTCACACGAGCATCCTTGGGCGTGGTGTTTCAGGAACCGCGGATCAATGGGAAACTCTTTGATTTTTCCCTTTTCCCTTCGCCGTTTGCCCTCTTTGCGCGACGAGGAATCTGCCGAACTTTTCCTCTTTCCACTGGTTTCAAGGCTGTAGCGGGAATTACTTGAGATTAGGAACATCTAATAGTTGAAATATTAGGACTCTTTAATATCGCAATTTTCCAACTAATCCAGCTTCCAATTGCCAAGGTATCTCCAACAGCTGTAAAGCTCGAAAACACTGTACACAGAGCAAAAGAGATGTTCGCTATTCCGAAGAATGTTGGTCGCACGCGTCAGCGATCGAAAGAAAATGGAATATCGATCGGAACGCGTTTCCTTGGAAGAGAAAAACGAAAAGAAACAGATTTTCTCCGAGCGATCCGCCATTATAATTGGATTCACCTGGCCCGTCAATCGCCGGCCGCGAATCGATTCCGGAATCCCTCTTTTTTTCTCGGTCTCTCCCTCCCGGTGTTCCTCGTGCGCCGCTTTATCCACTTTCGTTTTAATGGATCCCGGGTACCGTGAAATTTTCCCGTGGATCTGGTTAAATGGACGTCCCTAACGATCTCCGGGGGCGGTTCTCGCGTCGTCGACACCACTATTGCGCTTTTCTAACCTGTCACCTATACCACAGTGGTCTCGGAAACTCGAATTTTAACGACAATACCGTCTTTTGTCTCGTTTTTAAGGAAATATTTCGTTTGCTTCGGAATATTAGATTTTCCAGGGAACGTTACTCGAGTCTCTGTACTATCGTTCGAAAGGCAATAATGCTTTTTATTCTTGATTGTCAAGTAAACTCTATACGTGTCGTAGAATAGAATATTAGTTTTGCGAAAGCATTCTACGCGTGTTATTCGGTATTAAGGATTCGAGGAGGAACGTTGCCGGAGGCTACGCGTAGCAGTGGCCATAGAGACTGTACTATTTCAAGAAGACGAATGTCTTTTTTTCCTAATCTTTAATAAATAAACACTGTGCGCAGTTGGAGATCGCGAGAACGGTATTTCTTCTGGTTGTTTACGGACACTCGGTGGCCGGGGTTCTCGATAATTGTAGCCGCGACGCGTTTTCCTCGAGGACGTATCGGTGAGTCGGTCGATTTGCTTCCTAGACGATTTGAGCCTAGGAACTGCCGAGTGCTCGTTTTTCACGATTCTTCTCGGTCCACGCACAAGAAAAAGAAGAATCGAGAGAAAGTTGAACAAAATTGAATAGAATTTGGTAGTCCGGTGATTTGGTAATTCGACGGTTGCGGTATTTTTCGTGTTTTCCAATATCTAGGAAAGTAAAATAAGAAACGTTACTGCGAGCCAATACTTTGCCGAGACACGCCACCCCTTCAACCCATTTCGCGACTGTTCCTTTGTGGAACTTTCGTTTTGTCGCGTTATCGGAATATTTCTTCTCGACTGACACATCTGGGTCCTTTCGAATACACCGTCCATAACTATTCGAACGTTCGAGTCGACCGCGAAAACTTCAAACTAGGATGACAGCGATTAAATAGCAATCGCTGTCTATTTTCTGCCGTAGAATTCTCTTTGCTTTCAACGAAACGAAGAGACGTTTCAAGAAACGCTGTATCGTAAACGAGAGTTTCCAATCCGTCGTTGTTCACGGGGATTGTCCGATCGTTGTTCCAGGAGCGGTTCCCTCGACTATCGGTTGCGCAACAGAAATCCAATTATCCCAATTATTAAAATCGAGAACGTATTTCCGTTGCGCGGTGAACTTGTTAGCGGAATCAGTCCCGGTAACATCGGTTGACATTCAATTAACAGGGAACGAGATCGATTCGTCATCTGTATCTTTATATCTGGCTTCGATGGACAGGTTACCGCTTTCTCTCGTGGATTTCGTTTCATTTTTAATAACAACGAACGACGATGTTATATTTTTATGAAAATTGTTCGAGAAATCGATGAGCTCGGTTCGACGGAGAGTGGAGAGCATTCGTTAGCGAGCAGGGTTATTTTGGTGGTTTTTAATTAATCATTACCGAGGCTGTCTGGTGGATTCGATTATTTATAGCGATGGTAGGAATTGCCGGTGGAAATGTTTCCTTTTCTTCCGTTGAACTGAAACTCCGATGTTTAATGTACAAATAAAAAGGCAGCGTTCGTAGTCTGTTGATGATCGAGAGTTTGAAATTTCCCAAGCTGCAATATCCGCAATAATTTCCATTAATACGGCCGATACTCTTTCGATTGAAACGATACTTCGATTCATTTCGAAATGGACTCGCACGGCAAGCGATGCGTCCCCCCTCCGCGCGACGCACAGTAATTTCAATGAACACGCCGGACGCTTCGAGCGGAACCGATTGTCCAGAACAAAGGGTTAATTTCAAAGCGAAATCGATACCACCACGGCAGAGATTCGTTTCCTCGGGGCCAGAGTGCATTTTCTGCGACCGGGTTGCAGCAAGGTTGCATAATGCAGTTCGCGTCAATAAACCGGCCCTGACACTGCACACATGCCCGCACACGTAACTGCACTTTCCACTCCGAAAACCGAGACGTTCTCTCCTCTCCCTCCTCGTATCGGCCGATCTCGTTACCATGAATTAATTAGCTAGTTAATTAACGGGGAACGTATTTCTCATAAACAAGGAAAATTTGAGTGAAACTTCCTCCTACAATAGAACCAGCAGACAGCTCGAAACGATCCATTGAGAAAAATATTTCGCAATTGCTATTCAAAGAGAAGTTGATTCGATTCCTCTGCTACAAATCGCTGGTCGTTGATTCATTGTCTACTTCGTTAAATGGTGATTTTTAGCTTAGCGTTAAACCGATTAAAAGACGACGATTGAGAGATATCCTGGGATCGGTAAATATCCTCGGAAAGAAAGACGGGAACGTGGAATCGAAGGAATTTGCGCGAAGCAGAAGCAAAACAGTGGGATTATAATCGGATTGCGAAGGAATGAGAAATTGAAGACGGTTCGTTCGAGGTCCGAGTATCAAAGCTAGCACGGGGAATCGTGTTTCGAGCGTCTCGAATTTCCGTTTCCCGATCCCCGAGGTATTTGCGAAACGGATCGAACCCCGCGTTATAACTCATTAGCGAGCGCGAACCTCTGTCGGTTTATTTATAGGCTCGATTGAAGAGCGGTGCGCGTGGATACCGGAAGCAATTGTCGGGAATTGCCGTTAATCTCAATAGGAATTCGATTTGTATAGTTTTCATGGGGCTTTAAGCTGGCCGAAAGCAACTTGGTAATTTAATTAGTTTCGGCTCGAGATGATTCGCCGTGCGAGATACGCTTCGTTTCATTGGGACACCTTTTCAATTTGCCGCTGGGATTTTCACTGTAATCGTTACTATAATCTTTCTAGAATCGCTCGCCTTTGAGTTTCCCTGCAGACAGAGAAATTTCCCTCGGTAACGGAATCGAACGTTTTCCTTCTGTTCCAGATTCCAGCGGCGTTACCGTTGAAAAATGGGCACAACCTAGTCCGCATGGAAAAATCGAGCGCGAGCTCCGCGGAAGAGGATGAGTCGCGCGATTTGACCAGTACCACCGACCAGCAATATAAATTCAGTACAAAGGAGAGGCTAAAACCAAAAGCTAGAGGACGCGAGCTAAAGAAAAAGAGACCGACGGAAAGAAAACGACAGGAAACGCACAGACGAGTATGAGGTGAACAAAGGAAAGGAAAGGAAATTTATGGAAAGAGAGATTTCCCCAAAGGGTCGAGCTATTCCAAGCGGAACGGACAAATAAGGAAAACATACGGGGAAAGCCGGAAGCGAGGACAATCTTCACCAAAGTTACCTAATTACTAATTAACGTTAATCGAATCGAAGCGAGAGCTCGCTCGGATTCGAATTTTTAACGACGACCGAGACGCGTCTCTGCTCGTTTCGAAAACTGTACCGACAGTTGACGCGCAAAGATTATTATCGTCATCCATTAATTTATTATCGATGATTATTGTTAAACGTTTAAGAGGATATTTCGCTGTTTAAGAGGCACACACATAAACGATAATAAGAACCAGAGAATCGGAGGGATTCGTGTATTTTGATTGTATCGATTGAACGCGCGAGGAAATTTTCTGCTGAGAGAGAAGAAGAGAGCGAATTTTAGAATACAATCAATTTAACGAAACGAGCATTTTAACTATTAAGCATTTTAGAGATTTAAGAAAGTATATGTAGGTGTTAAAATTATATATATATAATACAGAGAGAGAGATAGAGAGTCCATGGGGTCCATGTTTTAAGAGATTATAAGGAACAAGTAAAAATCGTTTTTATTGTTGCTACTTGAGGAAAAGGGAGAACGTACTTCCGAAGAAAAACAAGGAGAATAAAGAGGAAAATTTGAGCAAAGAAAGTATCAAACGAAGCAGGTGATTGTCATGTTCAGAATCTTTCTTAATTAACCATTTAATTATGTAGATTTATCGAGCTCGTCGATGAGATTATTATTTCTTCGTGTCATCCAATTTTCTGTTCGAGCAGAGCGGACCGCAGAATATATCCGTCGAGTAGAAGAATGTTGCATTAAGTTGTGAAATTAAGAACCGTCATTATGAATCTGGAAGTGGAGCTCATCGCGGGGGTGATTAAGGGCGGACCACCCCCTAAGAATTTACCCGCGCCGAGGCTGATTAAAATATTCATCGCTGGAGAATGGAATGGTCATATCCTCTAATCCTTTTTTATCGTTGGGCTGCGGATGTTCATGCAAATTTATGATCTTCGTCGTTTAATGGAACCTGCAAGTGTATCGGCGAACAAATTAGATTCAAATTATTCTTTCTCTTTTTCTGTGTATTTCAGATTGTTTTATTGACTGTCTCAAGTGGAATAATTTGATCGAACGATAATGTGCATAACATCCGCTGTCTACTTACTGTTAATACTCTGAGCTGTGTACGTGTGTGTGTTAAATGTTCCGTGAACATCACGTTATGCATATACACTATCGCTTCATTTCAAAGACTCTGTGAATGTACATAGGTAATGTCAAACATTGTTTTTCATTTCTTTCATACGTTTACGATGTTTTGTTTATTCTTTCACGTTCTGGACAACATGTTTTTCGCTGCGTTGTCGAGGGAAAAATGATGAAGCGGACAAATTGAATTCTTCTATGAAACTTATCGATTACGAGAACATTGATTTTCCACTTTGCAACCGATTAAGCGAAAAATAATGTCCCAGGCAATTTTAACACTAAAATCATCAGACAAGCGAAAATAAAATAGAATTGAAATTACGATAAACGTTTCCCTGAAATTCTTCTAGAGAATATACAAAACTGTCGCTCTGTAGTTCTAGTGTTGAATTGTGCTCTCTGTCTGTTGCCTCATAAAATTGATACGCTGTTCGTGCACTGGAATTAATTGTAAATTAATGTTCGTTTAGGTGTCCACTCGCGTGCCTGTGTAGCCGAATGTGTTCGTCGACTGTTTTGTACATGTCTAGACGTCCATTTCTGTCACTGCTTGGAGAACTGTTGGGGTGGATGTGTTTTCTTTGTTCTTGAATTCGTTCACTTCACTGTGTGTGTGCGTGCGCGTGGCTGGCATGGTACTGGGTATGTTTTTCTGCATCGACGGGTCTCTTCCTGTTTCACCGTTTATTTATTTACACACCAATGTCTTTCAATTTATTTACAATTATTTATTTAGAATTATTTTATATTCAAATATCGTTGGAACATTTTTGAGAAGCGAAGCTTTTCGAGTATCGGAGGAACATTGAATTTTTGTTAATAATTAAGTTGGGAAGACCCTGTGAGTACACATGCGATGATAAAACGGTTTAGCATAGAGGAAGCGTGACGAATAGATCGAATAAAGTTGATGAAAGAGCAACGAACTTTAATAAAACAGTTTATTCATTGCTTGTGAAGTTTTTTAATCCGTTTATTCATTCTTCCACCCGTCTAATTATCTTTGAACTGTAAATTTCCCTTTAATCGTTACACGTATGAATATTTATCGTTAAACTTCCTCCCAATCTTTTTCTTTCGCTTGATTGGGAATTCCAGCGTTATAAGAATCAATTTCAAGATTCAGAGTATTAAGGGTTCTTTCTTGGAATTTCATTTCCTAGTGGCGTGAAATTCAATTCCACGTAAGAGTGTTCCAATAAACGCGTCCTCGGGAAGAGAGGTTTCTTGAAAGGTAATTCCTAGGAAAGACGTGGACTTTAATAAGGACGTTAAATTTTTATGTCGGACGGTATGGATGTAATATAAAGGGCATTCGGGGGAAATTGTGGGTTTCTTAAGAGTCTGAGATCATTCAGAAGTATTTCAATCGATTCTGTAATGTTATTTTCAGTATGAATTCACTCGAATTCACTGAAATCCTAATAAGAAGCGTGATCACTGAGTCGAGCAAAATTGTAACGTTTGCGAATAACATTCACAGAATTCATCAATGAAAGGCAGCAGTTCTTGGAGCTGGTTGGGCCTGAATTGCAATCGATGTACGACGACATGGGAATCGAGGTAGGGAATTCGAAAATACTTGTAACATAGTTCCAGGACAGTATGAAAAATCTTCATTACTGTTTTCTATATTAGATTAATAAGGGAGAAATTCCGTAGGTGCTGTTGGTGGACATGCATTATGCAACGAACGCGAATCCTGATAGAAATCCGTTCTTGGCTGAACACTTCCTGGATGAAATACGTGCTGCTTATCAACATTCTAGGGGTTGTTTCTTCCTGGTACGTTCCTTGAGCAGTAAATCACCGAATGATCAATTAAAACTTGGTGATTATTCATCGAATCAACTTCAGATTGACACTAGAGCTACCTTAGTTCCATTGTAGTTCTACCGTTAAATTGTTAAAAAGTTCAACGATTCAATTATTAAGTTTCTGTTACTTATTTTAATGAAAGAATGAAATGTCTCGTTGCAGTTGCTCGTGGGAGACGAGTACAGCGCTGGCTGGCTACCAACGAAACTCACTGAGGATACTTACGACATTCTTTCTAGCCAGTGCACCATGATGGAGGAGTATTACGAACACGACAGTAATTGTTATACCCTGAAGGCTGGCAGGTAGTTACGTTTTATTGCGGCGTCGTACGGGAATGGAATGGAAATGTCGAGGGCGTGAGCTGGAACAATAAAATCAGAGAGGAAACGCGAGGATTTTATTATTCCAATCCGAGGAATGTGTATTCTTGTACACCCTCCACTTCACGCGTACCATTTTCTTTCCATTTTCTTCTTCAACGACCCTCAATTCCGTCTGAACGTTTATTTTAAACTGTTCCAATTGTCTCTGTTCGTTGTTACTTTTAAATGAAATTTCAATATTTATTTTTCTTTTTAACGAACAGTGCGTTCACTCTGAACGGAATTTTAAAAGATGATTTATTTAAGAATCATTAGCCATTTGAATCGAACCGATATTTAATTTTAGTCGTTTATTAATTAACAGCTACAGGGCAGCCAGCGATAGTTGGCAGAGCAACGAACCGCCGATCAGGGAGGCCATAAAGAAAGCAGCAGAGGCCATTGTTTCAGAGAAGAGGGATAACGAAGAGATTCGAAATATACTGAAGAGTTCCGCGGAGAGGCAGTTGGAGTATGCTTTAAGTAAATAAATTGTCAGCGTTACACCGATCGTGTAGGACTAACGTTCAGATTCTCTTAGGAAACTTCTGTTTCAGTGTTGGACGAGACGCGCGAGGGCATCGTAGCTGTGACAAGAACGTGGAAAGGTAAAAAGAGCCCGAAATCGGTGGCGTCGCTCAGGTCCCTGGTGGCGGAGAATCTTCCGGTCGACAACATAATAAACGTGGAAGTGGAACAGGAGCCGGCCGGCATCAATCCGAGCCACAGATCGCACAAAGTCTACCTGGCTCACGTCTGCCGTTTACTCGTGAACCGCGTACAAACCCTGGTGAACGCGTCCATCGCAGCCGACCCCGAGATCAAGAGCAAAAAGAAAATGGTACAGGAGATCTACGCAGAGAGTCTGATGCACATCGCTCTTCTGAGAAACGTCGAGCCCTGCGACGAGCACAACGAACACGTGGAGAGGATCAAGGAGCTTCTAATAACCGGTACAAATACCTTTAAAAATCATTTGTAGAACTACTCGGTGAGCAATTTGAAAATGGAGTAATTATTTTACTGTATCTACGAAAAATACCAAGGATTATTCTACTTGTCTGATCGTGCAGATGTTGTTCCACTTGTCAGCTCTTACGGCCATCTTGTACCACTTGTCTGACCATGCATATTTCATTCCACTTATTCGACGAGGAACATAACCTGTACCACTTGTCCGAGCAGATACAGATTGCTCCACTTGTCTGGCAGAATTCCAACCATTTCACTGTTTCGATTGGACGCGTATTGAAGGAGGAATTTGAATCGTCCGACGCGAGACAGACGCTTGAACTTATTCCTGCAGTATCTCCCCGATTAGATGATTATCATAAAACATATTGATATTAACGATAATCGTATTAACAGGTAAATGCCAGAAACACGGACCAATACTGGTGAAAGGCGGGAAATACTCGGGCAAGTCATCGTTGCTGTCTCGGATCTACACGGACGCCGGCACGTGGCTGGATCGATCGACATTCCGCGTGGTGCGACTCTGCTCCTCGACGCCCCGCTCCGCGTACAGCCTCGAGCTGCTTCGAGTGCTCTGTCAGCACGTCGGCTTCCTCTCGGGTCAATTGGACGGTAACCTGCCAAAAGACGCCTCGTTCGATCCGCTCTATTTGAACAACTGGTTCGGCCAGATCATGAGGAGGATCGAGGAGGACCCGTTGCACGAGCAGCTGCTGATCCTGATCGACGATCTCCATCGATTGCACCCGTTGGAGTGCGACATCATCGCGGCCCTTTCGTGGCTTCCTTTGAACTTGCCGCCGGGTTAGGAATAATGGCACATAGAGTCCTTTTAACGCCGGAACTACTGGACACGGTCGAATTGACTTTATCCGTTTCAGGTGTGCATCTGGTGGTGACCACCGCTATTCCACCGGAAATGCTTCGCTTAACCCCAATGCAAAAGGAACGATTACGCAGCTCCCAGATCCTCGTCGAGCTTCAGGATTCGTCGACGGATCCACAGGAGACGGAGACTGTGTTCGATCAATTGGAAAGATTAGTGGGCCGATGCGCGGCCGACAGGATCGGCGCGATTTTGGCCTCGACGGAGTACGGTCTCTCGGAAACGGAAGTCCTCGAATTGGTCATGCCAACGGTTGGCGACGGTCCTCTGTTCCTCAAGGACGGAATGTTCAATTTCTCGACCTGGTGCCTGGTCAGGCGAACGTTCGACGATTCCCTGAAGGTATGCTTCGTCTGTCAACGAAATTTCAAGGTTCAAGCAAGAACAATGAACTTGAGAAATTCTTACCAAAGGTTCGCGTGATGAGCGGCAGGCTGTTGTTCTCCTGGCGCTATCCAATCCGAGACCAGGCCAGGAAACGGTACTTCCCGAACCAGGAGATTCTGAAGATGTATCACGGCGAGCTGGCGAATTTATTCTTCTCGGAGGAGTTCGAGGAGAAGGACGACAAGTCCTCTCCGGAGGAGGAGACACCGAAGAAGACGCCGTTTCAGAGCAGACCCAGGTCGAACGACACCGCCTACAATCTAAGACACGTGGAGGAAGCCTGGCTGCATTTGTTGAGAGCTGGGGACGTTGAGAAGCTGAAGAAGCTGGCCGTGTGCGCGTTTGATTTCCTCCTGGCAGCCGTGCAAATGGTTTCTGTCAGTTACTTGAGGTGCGTCCTCGAGCATTCGCGGAGGTATCTGCTGGAGAGGGACTTGGAATTGGTTTATTACACCGTGAGGAAGTGCAGCGACATTTTAACCAGAGATCCTCTCCAGCTGGGCGCTCAGCTGATCTGCTGGTTGAGGCCTGTGGCCGAGGATGCCGGTGACTTGGTGAGCAGCCGGGTTTGTCTGCTTTTATTGCTATGAAGGGTATTGGACGGGGGGTGATGTTGTACGAAGAAATATTTGTGATTCAAGGTTAGCAGGATGGTAACAGCAGCGATGGCGTGGTGCGATGGTTTCACAGCGCCACTGTTGGTGCCGTTGAACGGCTGGCTTCAGCCACCTTTGCCACTTCAGATCCGCACACTGTCTTGCCCGCAGGGGGTTAAACTGGTGGAGGTTGCCCCGTCCGGGCAACACGTGATCGTTGTGCCGTTTCAAGGGGATCCCCAACTCTGGCACGTCATGTCCGCTCAATTGGTTCACACGTTCAAAGGTGATTTCAGGTTAATTAGCACATAGTAGCGTCCCACTGTTTTGTGTCCCTTAACGCGTTGACTGACGCTAAAACAATTCAATTTGGATGATAGAATATGAGAGTGGTAAAGCGAAAAATGCAGAAGCATTTGTGAATTTGATAACCTGACAGTTTACACATTGTGTTTAAATGTTACGCTAGACAGTCACCGTGTTAATAGGCATTTCGAAAGTGACGGTGAAAGGGCTGATTTTAAATGGTAAATACCATCGTCGAACAACTCCATGCACGTTCGAATCGTTTGTAATCATTTCCGTCAAATTATTTCAGGCCACTCGAACCCAATATCATGCTTAGCCGTGACACAACACTCGCAATACTTGCTGACAGGCTCCGAGGACACGTCCATCATCGTTTGGGACATGAAAGAGCTCAGTTTAAAGCAAAGAATACGGGAACATATCGCGCCCGTTCTGTGTTTGACCACTGCGCTCAAGAACACTGTGATTGTCAGGTTTACGATTTGAATATCAGTTAACTCGCCAACGATTAGAACTTTCCTCTTAATCTTTTTATTTCGCCGAGGAACCTGTGAACGAATCGAAGAATCCAATGGCTTGCGATCGAACGATAGAGACGCGTTATTTTCGAAATAGCATCGACCTTCGTAGAATTACAATTGAACAGTGATATCGATTAAGCGGCCGTTCAATTATCAATTGGATTACAAAACAGTTCCATCCCTCGACTCCTTCTAATCTCTTCGTTTCCACTTTGTTCGAGTCGACGACGACCTATAGTTGTTCATTCGACCGTCATTCGTGCTAATATACATTCACGATACTACAGTCAAACATAAAAGTAAAAGTTTCTTCTCTCTCTCTCTCTCAGATTGTTTCCTTGATACCTCTGTGAATAATTTCTGCATCCAATGTATCGTTTGAAAAGCGATCAGTATGGTAATTAACGGTGTCATTCTCGGTAACTCCGAATCCCGTTTCTCAGCGGCGGCGAAGACTCGAGGATCATCATCACTCGCCTGCTGACCGGATACGTGCTGCGCAAAGTAGACCATCATCGAGGCCCGGTGAACTCCGTCCGCGTCAACTCCGCCGGCGAGATCCTGGTCTCCGGCTCGTCCGATTGCACCGTGTGCATCTGGTGCCTGGAGAAGTTCACATTGCTGAAGAGCATATCGCTGCCCGCCGCGGTGACGATGCTCGACGTGTCGGCCGACTCGCTGTTCCTGTTGGTCGCCTGCGAGGACCAGAAGCTGTACCTGCGGTCCCTCGCGACTGGCACGGAGATCCACACGCTCAGAGGACACCAAGGCGACACGAAGAGCATTTGCCTGGCCAAGGACTGCAGGAGAGCCGTGGTGGGCGGCGTCAAGGGGAAAGTCTCCGTGTTCGACATGCACAGCGGAAGATTGACCAGGACGTTGCCCGCCAATCCCTCGGCGGACGTATCCGCTGTGAAAGTAAGAAAATCCTTGAAACTTCTTGGACGGAAGCTAGCCGACTACTCTTTGGAGAACGCGATACACTCGCTTTATCGCGACAGGTGACGGAGAAAGACGACTTCCTGATCACCGCTGCCGGGGACCGGGTCACCTATTGGAGCTTCCGGGGCGAAGAGGCGTTTCTCAAGTCCTTGAAGTCGGGGAAACAGGAATCCTTGCACCCGCACACGGCGTCGATCACTTGCCTGGACATCTCGAGGGACGGCGCCATGGCGGTGACCGGCGGCGTCGACTCGTTGGTGAACCTTTGGCAGCTGAACACTCACGAGCTGCTCTCCACTTTCGAGGGTCACATCGCTAGCGTCACTTGCATCGCGTTCTCTGCTTCCGGCTTGTTCGTCGCGTCCGGTGAGCACGTGAATTGTATTCGTAGAATAATCCGGAACGAACGATGATCAATCGATTCGCGGACTTCAGGCTCGGAAGACAAGACGGTTCGGGTTTGGGGGCTGACCTTGGGCCTGATGGTGGCGACGTTTAGGCATCAGGCGCCGGTCACGTCGGTGACCGCCATGTTCGACGGCAGGAGGATCGTCAGTTCCGACAGAGGGGGCGCGATCCGAGTTTGGGCAGCCGACTCGGGCACCCTGATTCAGTCCGTATGCGGACGCGGCCGGTGCATCACCGTCTCCTCCGACATGAAGTACGTACTCGCTGTGTCATCTTCTCTTCTACGGGGTACCACCGCGCGGGGTTCCTCCGATAGGGAAGACACTCGGTCGACGATATTCCAGCGGCGGACGGGTGAACCGAGAGCTAAACGTCGATGAACATTGTTCAGGTTCGCCGTGTGCGACACGGGAGACAATCAGGTGCGAATAGTAAGCCTGGGAACTGGTCCAGAAGAGAAATACCAGGTGTCGCATTCTCAGGACATCACTTGTCTGGTGGTAACTCCAGACTCGCAGTCTCTGATCACGGGATCGATGGACATGAGCCTGAAAGTGTGGCAGCTCGCCGGAGGCAAATTGTCTCAGGTCTGTCTTTCAACGGACGTCCAAGTCGGAACGAAACTTCTACCGCTTTTAGAATAATTCTGTAACAAGTAACGCTAAGCCGGAGCTGCTCGGACAGCAACGAGATTGATCGAATTCAACCGTAGGTTCTAGTCGGTCACACCGACCATGTAACCTGCGTCGCGGTTTCCATGTTGGACAAGTCGGTAGTGGTCTCCGGCTCGAGGGACGCGAACCTGATCGTCTGGGACATCAACACCGGCGCGGACCTTCACACGCTGAAGGGACACCTGGGTTTCATCACCTGCGTGAAATTGTCCGGCGACGGGACGCTGGCTGCTTCGGGGAGCGAGGACAAAAGTTTGATCGTTTGGGACACGAAGAAAGGCTGTTCTTTGAGCAGCATCATGCTTCACGTGCCAGTGGTTGGCCTGGAAGTGGGCATGGACCTGTCCAGGCTGGCTCTGCACCTGCTCGAGCACAAATGCATGCCGATACTCTGTCTGCACAACACTCCCGCGCAGTACGTCAAGCTGCCCGACTACGTCGCGCCCTGGTCCGACATACGGGACTTGAGGCCGTCCGGCCCAAAGAGGCCCAATAAGAGGCTGCTGAAGAAAGAGGTGTCTCTGGACAGCGACACTTGGCGCAGGAAGTACGGCCATCTCACTTCGGGTACGGGCAGACGTTTTGTCGGTAACGGTTTCTTCCCTAACTCTTTCCTTTATAGGTTTGCGAGGCTAGATTAGACTTGCCACGTTCGTCGAGAACAATCGAAGATGCGCGGACTCTTGAAACTCCTTCCCGCGCGACTTTGTCGAATCCGACAAATCGAAGGAAGAGGAAAGAGTTTTTCGAAAAGATTACAGATTTCTCGTCAACCACGTTATATTGGAAATTGTCGTTTGTTTCAGGCATATCCTCGTCGTCGGTGGAGAATCTACAGCGACGGTTCAGCGTGAGCGCCTCGATGGACGAGATCAGTAAGGTTGGATTGGCCAGCAGTCCTTCGGGGCTGGGCCCGGAACAGGCTGCTCTAGCCCAGTCGCAGCATTTCGATCAGCTGGAGGCGCTCTGGAACAAACAGTCGCCGCCATCCAGGTCGCGATCTCACGGTAGAACCCTCTCCAAGCAGAGTTCTCTGCAAGCAACGCGGATCTCCGACTCGGAGGAAGAGGGTGGGTCCCCGAATTCGTTTCGTTCTGTTCCATGAAATCGTACTTTGAAAGTAAATCATTGGATAAAACGAATCGGGAATTTCTACCGCAGGTCTGCCGGTTTAAAGGAGTTGCTCTTTTAGAGACGCGATGGAGGTCGAGCTCCGAAGAATCCTAATCGTCGTACCTTGTTCCCTCTTCGACGAAGCGGAGGAGAATTGGAGAGCAGACAGGAGAAAAAACGGAAAAGATAAAAATCGAAACGTACGTCCCCCGGTCAGCGAACTTCTAATTTACGGAATATTCTCGTATCCGATGCAATAAACGTGTATATACGAAACCTTCGTATACACACGCGATTATCGATATTTAGAGAGGGATAAATCGAGCTCGTTTACTTCCATCTTTTCCACCGAGATTACGGGTAAATCGGTTTCTCGCTTCGTGAATTGTTGATGGTTTGTTCGTTTCGTTACGCGGCAACTAACGTGTATATAATTTATATATATATAAATTATATATATATATATGTATTATTTATATTATTCAACGTGATAGTTGGAGACAGTTTACGCTTACAAAAGTGATCATTCGTTTTTACAGGGGAATTACGTGTGTGTGTGTTTGGTGTTGCGTTGCTCGGTGTTTGCGTTGCTCTGTTTCTTCTCGTAATAGTCCGCCATTACTCGCCAGGCGCCGGGCGCCATGAATCCTTCCGGTGGATTTTCCCCGGATCTCGCTAATTCTGTAAGAAAAAGACATCGGTTCGTTGTTGAGTTCTCTTTCTCGACATAGCGGGTTCTAAGCGAGAATTTCATTTATTAGTTGAATTAGTTTCGACTTCTCGGGAAAGTACGTCTACAAGCAGGAATATCCAAAGAAACGAGAAACGTTAGTTCGTTCGGTAAACGATTCGATCACCATTTATCCAACGCCAATATCGATTCCCGTGCTTTAACGTTCAATTGAGATTTGTTGAGTTTCCAATGTTCAAGCGAATATCGAATATTTAGTGTCTTGTTTAGCGGACAGGTATATATATACATCCGAGGTAATTATTATTTTCGAATCGCACACGTTCGCCGTTATTAATAATTTCTCGACCAGGTGTTGTGTATCGCGCACGAGGCTCAGCTAGTTTTTAAACATCCGTTGCTTTCTCGAAGTTGATATGTACCGTTAATGCACAACGTTGTCCGTCAAGTGTTTTAGTGTTAACGTCGATCTTGAATTTTAACGTCTGATATCAATATGAATTTTGTACGTTTATATTAAATTGAAAGTTTTATTTCCAATAGTAATACGAACGAGTTGAACTCTATATGTTTACTGTGCCGCATCGAAATCTCCCTCGGTGAAACGCAAAGTGTTTCAACGTCTCGCGACTCGCGTTTCTATTACGTCGAATCGTTATGAAAAGTGTCAGCCGACCTCGCATTTTAGTTCCCGATATGAAACTGAAGTCCTGAGACCGTTCCTGCTCGAAGAACGCCATTTTCTTCGCCCTGTTGTCGTAAGCAGCCACTCTGAACGGGATTATCTCCAGGTTCTGGAGACCAGGCGCCATCGACAACACTCTGGACCCGTGTGTCGCATCGTACAGGTTGCCTGAGTGCACGGATACAATTATTTCTTTGAATTAAACAGTTTTTTCTTTCACCGGTAAGTGAAGCGAAATGTCAACGACGCTGACAGGGGCTCGATCGAACTCCCGTTTCATTCTTATCTTTTGTTATACGTATTTCTAGTTGTCTTTGTTACCGTCCGGTGTTTTCGACTTGTCGGGATGCGGTAGACCAGCCGGATCACGACCAACGATGTAGAAATCTGCCCCGGCCATCATTCTCGCTTTGGCGTGCCATTGCACCTGTCGAGAAGCGTCGCATTTGTGAAAGTAGCTATTCGAGCGAGCTGTTTATTATCTATAGTACCTCTGTGGGTCCCGCGTACAACATAGGACTGGGAAAGACGGCGAGAATGGTGTCCGGGTGTAACACGCCTTCTTCCAGGACGGACTCGTGTTGCTTTATCCGTATTGGCAACGGCACGTCATCCTCCTTCGTCCATCCTCCCAGAGGATGCAACAGAAGCACCGGCTTTTTGAAACCTCGTTCCTCCACAAGGTACTTCCTCGTGTCCTAACGTCACATTTTAATTGTCCTCCATTTAATTCACACCGCTCTTTAGATAAATCTAAGATAATGTCTGGATTTCTATTTCCAGACGAATCGTAGGTAAATCTGAAATTTATTTCAACTTCTAACGCTACGACGTTCGAAGGTTAGAAGCGAGTAATCGAATTGTTCGATTAATGAACAATTAGTGTGCAGTTTTATTTTGCGTTTCTAATACTCGAAAACGTAACGTGTGATTTGACTTTTCGAGGAGAAGGTTTTTAATACCGAAACGGGTGTACAATGGAAAGAAAGCTATGGAAAACACCGTACCTGCATTAATAACGCATGGCCATTGTGCACTGGGTTCCTCAGTTGAAAAGCGAACATTACGTCTGCCCCCATTTCCTTGCATTTCCTCCGTATCTCATTCGGGGTGAGCCTGTATGCGTCCAGGCCATCGTTCCACCTTATTCTCTCGAGAACTTCCAGTTCACCTCCGACTAGCCAGTCGCCCGAGTTTTGGATCATTCTAACGTGCGGGTGGCCAGGATCGTTTGTTCCAAATTCCCTGGAACACCTGTCGCGATGTTTCCAATGTTATTCTATGATATTAGCCGTAACGCGTTTATTATCCTGTTATTAATTAAACGATCGTTGTTTCGTTCGCTTAGAGGAACATTCGAACCGAGAAGATGGGTATCAAGACACCTTTCTTCTTTTCGGTGAGCAAAGAATTCGGGATCTCTTAGAATCGCGATAGGTCTGCCACGGTGTTTCAAGGTAATCGCCGATGCACCGCTGCATCTTTCCTTCTGCGCCGTTGTCACCGGAAGCACGATGGGTACCGATTGATTAGCGACACCCCCGTTTCTCTCCAGTATCTTGAAGTGTTGACACTGTAACGTTCCATTTGTTGATTACATATATATTGTATTTCCTTGTAACCCTTTCGAATAATCATTCTCTCACCTGCAGGTACTCGTTTTCCCTCATGAAACCCCTTAAAGGGTTTGCCCAGCCCTCGGCGAGCACTTGGACCCATTGCAAGTCGATGTCATTGATGTCGATACCTGAAGAAACAACATTTCCCGTTTCACTTCTGGAAATTCCAACATCTTGCATGGAATTCGAATTTTAGGAAGAACCTACTGAGAAGACCCTCCGCCTCCTGTCTGACGCTGTCGACCCTCTCGCTGCCAACGAAAAGCTCCTCCACGCCTCTGGGTATCTTGGGGACGATCTCCTCCCTCTCCAAAAGATTTATCACCATGTTCGTCGATTTCTCCACGCTGTGGATCTCCGTGTTCACTATCAGATCCGGCTGACTGGGTACTTCGTACTGCTGGCCGACCCCTGTGAAGCTCGGTATCACCCCTTTCCGAGCCTTCTTGTACAGCCCTTTCACGTCCCTCGCCTCGCAGATGGCCAGCGAAGCTTCCACGTAGACCTCGAAGAACCTGAGCTCGTACTCCTCGAGGATCTTCCTTGCCAGCCTCCTGTCAGCCTCGAAAGGCGACACGAAGCTGCAGATCGCGATCACACCGCAGTCGGAGAACAGTTTAGCGACCTCTGCGGCTCTGCGCACGTTCTCCTCGCGGTCCTCTTTCGTAAAGCCCAGATTGCGATTCAGCCCACGGCGGACGTTGTCGCCGTCCAGGCTGTACGCTGGTATCCCCTGGGAATTGTCGTTACATTAGAATTAATTAGTATTTTTAGAGATTGCTTTTTGCCAAGCAATTGGAACGACTCACTCGGAATTTCTTCTGAAACCTATTTTATCGATAGATTCATTTTTCTAATTATATTTTTTACATTTCTATGACTATTTAAAGTCATAATGGTAATAGACTGCTTTACTGTGACAAACGGTCGCTAAACTGCAATCTCTACGGGGATGTAGAAAATAGTTTTCAGTCGCGATTCTTTGTTTGGAGGAGAGACGACTGTAGATTCACCTGCGAGATGAGATAATTCTCGAGCTGAAAGGAGATCGACGTCTTTCCAGCGCCGGACAGTCCCGTTAACCAAATGGTACAGCCACGAAATCCTTTGAATCTACCGTAAGACTCTCCTCGTTTCTCCCGTGATACATGATGGATCTGCTGTGTCACGTTCGACGCTATTATCTATGAACACAGCCCACGAATATTCGCAATTACTCATTTTCTCGTTTCACATGAAATTTCAAATATTCTCGAAGCGATTCGTACGCTTGATTATCGTTTGCGAACATAAATATAGAAGTATTTAAACGTTGACAAGTGAAACTTCAAACGCGCGTAATTAATTCGAAGAAGGTCAAATATCCAGTCGCCGGAATTCCTAGAGAATTCTATACGATTAGTTAGCGTCCGAAAATCGTCGGAAAGATCGTGCAACGAAATTACATAAGATTTTATCGAATTGTCCGTGTTCCGAGTACCTTATCTGCTTTCCTGCGCGTGGATCGTTCTTCCGCGTACGAGTTCATGTATATTCCCATTTTGAGAATGCTACTGGAACACTTTATTCTACAATACAATATTTCAGATGGAACTTATCAACTTTCACAGCGATTCACGAGTGTCTAAAACAATATAAACTCGATTTAATTCGAAACCGCGTATATTCCCATTTCAAAAACGGTCCCCTAACGGTTTCTTCGATTTCACACCGAATTTTTCTACTCGTTCGACATTCTGAACGATCCCGAAATTCGTGGAGAAACAGGAACCCGACTCGATTAGGAATTCATGTGTATTCCCATTTGGCGGAATCGACGCTTCCAATTTCCACGGTGCTCTAATATCTGCCGGAATGTAACGGTAACTCGATTTAATTACGTGGAGCTGAATTGATTCGCCTGGTATCGTCGATACACGGTTTTCGCATCGTCCGTCCGGCCACAAATGATACGGCGAACCCGAAGAAAGTACTCGGATGCACGGTGCGCGCTCGACTGACGATGATCCGGGCACTCGGGGACGAGAAAGTGAAACGAAAGTAGCCGAACGGAAGAATTTCTCGAGATACCTCGAATACCGGGATAGAGGAAATCGTGGGCCGATGGATGTGATTATGGGACGCGATGCGAACGATGCTGAGACCCATCTTCCACCCGTGTGTTTCGAGAACATTCGTCGTCTTGACAAATAAATAACTATGAAAAATCATTCTATTTTCTTGTGTAATTTTACACGATTCTTAATATTATTATTATTATCGTTTTATTATAGTTTTTCGACAAGTCGAACGAGCAAACCTTTTAGCGGACGAAACGTGGAATTCGAAAGTGTTTTCCCCCGATTCGATTCTGAATTTTCTATAAAATTCGACGTGTCATTTGTAATCGGGATACGATGAACGAGACAGCTTCCCGTCGGCGAATCTGCGAGTAGTCGCGCGCAATTGAGCCGCAGATAAACATCTTTTTTTTTGTTTTAATTGGATGCGATGTATCTCTCGCTCTATTAGCGGCAGATAAAACTCGCGGGAGGAACAGCCTGAGATTCGTTTTACGTTCACAGTGTTAAAGTAGTACGCGCTGCTGCGGAAGCTGAATGGATCGCGAAATTCGATTCAGCGTAATAATCGACATCGGGAAAGAAATCTCGGATCCCCACTGGCACGCTCCTCCTTGAAACTTCGATGAAACGGCGAGAAAAAATCGCGCGTCGAGTTTCAAGGGGTCGTTGCGAAGGGAAGACTCCGATCTACGAATCTACGGTGGTTTCGATCTCGAAAAAAATTCTTTAGCGGCTACAGTGACGTTACCGGTTCGAATTTACGCGATTCCGGCGACGAAAAGGTACGTCTGCTCTCATACCCGTTACACGAAGGCGAAAGATCATAGAGTAAAACAACTTACGAGGGGCGAAAGTAGAAGCTCCACGCTTTGCAACGAGCTAAAGCACGACGTTCTACCATTTTTTATTACAAAGTGACCGCAGTTTAAAGTTCGCCAATTTTTCGAGTTCAATTTGGCGGTCCTTTAGAGCGGTCCTGCGTATTTTAGAGCATATTTCACTCTTTCTCTTAATGGTCCTCCAATAATTCCGAACAATATTTTTAAATGTACCAAAATATTTTCGAAGCCAATGAAATTTCGACTACGCGTATAATAGATTAGATACGAAATAAGACGTTTGAAACTTACACAATTGATTTCCGAATCGGATAGCTTGCCATTCCGACAACTCATTGCTACTGACAAATAGATTTTCCGTCGGAAAACGTATAAACAATAATGATCTCCGTGCAAATACTGAATAGCTGGTGACATGTATTCTTTCATATATCGCCGGGAAGGGTTAAGAAGGGGGCTGATCGGGAGGGGAGAAATTGCATACTTTCTCTCCCTCTCTCTCTCTCTCTTTCTTCCTCCCTCTCTCTCTCCCTCTCCCTGTTCTTCGCGTTAGACGCGGCCCTGGACGCAGGAAAAACCTAACGCGGGTGAAAAACTCGAGGACACGGCAGAGTGAAATTTCCAATTTAACGCGGCGACGTGCATGCCGCGGTGACCTATTTAATTAGTCGAAAAAAGCCCAGAAAATTAGCTAAAAGTTTCCCGCTTTTCTTTGGTCGTTTTTACCGTTCCTCTTGCTCGTTCTTTCTTCTGTTATTCGTTTGATTTTAAATGGAAACCGCAGAATTATCGTAATTATCGTTGATTTTTAATTAAACGCGCGGAAGGAAACATAACGTTGCGACTGTCCGATGGTGGTGCGACGAGTAATCAAATTTCATATTTCAATTACAAATGTGCAATGTTCAAATTTGTAAAGAAAATGAGTCACACTCGATTCTCGCGTTACGAAATAGGTCTCCGTGAAACTTTGTTGCATCATCGTTAAGAACTTAATTGTTTATAATAACCAAGGTCATTGGAAACAAGCGAAAGCATATATATAAAAAGAAACAATTGTCGTACCGGCACAATTACTTACAATTCATTTTATACTTGAACATCGTAAATCCTTTGTGCCTTATTTATTACTCTTTGAGGCAGGTAATTGTTGGTATTTATTAATTTAAACAAAGTTTAGTAGTTCCAGGTACCTATAATACTTGCATATTGCAGGCACGATTAACAGGTTGCCTGTCACCAGGGGCAATATCTTTTCTCAAAAATAACAAGATGGCGTTGCCATTCCATTAAACATGGCGCGTATAGTATTCAAATTTTGTCCGACTATAAATATATTGCGATATATTAACAATACATCGGCGATAAAGGTAAAGTAACAAGTTGTTGCAGTTCTTTGTTTTATGTAAGTTGATGTTTTTCATTCGAATATCGTTTAATAGCGATATCTAGGTTATGCGACTCTGTGGTAAGGTCACGAAGGCTCTGTATGTTTACGTAGTTTCTGACTTCGGATGGTAAGCAACGTCAGGCTGCTTGGAGCAGTTTTCGTTGTGAAACTGTCCAGCGTCTGTTGGGAGCAGAGAAATTCATTTTCGAGCGAAATAAAACAAGTTCTCGTTAGTGTTATAGAAATATATTTAAACGAACAATGTCGACGAAGTCTTCTGTCGATTTACGAGCGGAGCTTGCAGAATTAGTGAAACGAAAAGCAGAAATAGCTGTGAGTATGGTCAACTTGTCAACCTGTGTCTCTTTTTCCAATTATATTGCCTTCGAGTGAATCGTGTTGCTGATACGATAAACGATTATCATTATCGGTGTGGAATTTAACAATTATACGTAATCATTAATCATTTTAGACAAGCATTAGGAATCGAAGAGGCACTTTCTCGTACTTTGAATCGAGGTTATGCCAACATAACCTCTGCGCAATGTTTTTCTTGTTAGCCTCTTTTTAATATTGACCTCGATTCTCCAATTTGTTATTCCTTGTGCCAGTAACAATAAAGTGCTCGTACAAATAAGAGAGAATTATAGGATTCTAAAGTACATTAATATCGCGGGCTGTTTTATAACCTTCGTGTTTTGTTTTGGTCATCGATTGATCGTCGAAGTAATCTTCGTTATCGTAAAATTATTAATTTTGTAGGATACTCTCGCCAACTTGGAACGTCAAATCTACGCGTTCGAAGGTAGTTACTTGGAAGACACGCAGCTGTACGGCAATATAATTCGTGGCTGGGACAGATATTTAGCGAGCAATAAAAATACGAATAGCAAGGCGGATAAACGTAACAGGAAATTTAAAGAAGCCGAAAGGCTTTTTTCAAAATCTTCTATCACCTCCATGGCTGTGAGTACCAAGTATTCTATTTCGAAAGGTTCAACAAACTCTTAACATTATTCTTCCTTGGACTTTGCTACCGTTACGGAATACGTAGCTATAATATATTTCTACGTAGAACGATTTTATTTGGAATCGACTTAAAGATTTCTGCAATTTTCATAGATTCCAATCGAGCGTAACGTATTAATGTTATAAAAATAAAAGTACTCATTACTCATAATAGGACAGTGCCCGTAGTATTTCCCCCGTAAATAGCCAAAGCAGATACAATTTATATAAATCATGAAGATTGTATTTTTGCAGGCGGTTAGTGGACTCGTGGAAAATACCCAGGAAAAAAGTAAGGACCTCAATGGATATTCCTGAGATAGTTAATTTATTAATACGAAATAGGAGTACAACCTTATTTTTCATCCTCCCATCCCTCCCAACTTTTCTTTTTGCCCTGTCCTCCAGAGCAATTCTTTTTAGTTGTTAAGTTATCCTCGATTGTACTTCTTTTTCTTTTTAATGTATCGATCGTACTGTCTTCCACGTATAAAAGAAAATAGTAATAAAGCTGGATTGTTGTGCAACTTAGACGAATTAATGATTAAAGATTCGAGGAATGTTTAGTACCATACTTTTAGTTGGACTATACAACTTTTATTTTCTTCTGTATTTAAGTTACAAATAAATTTTTATTTATTCCTTATCTATTTTTTTGAAATTAATTTGATTCATTTTTGTATTTTTTCTCTGTGGTAACTTCTCTTTCTGTTCTCCATCTACGTACGTGTCTGTCCACGCAGTGGATAAACATTTGTTTGCTAATAAATTTGAGATCCACTTGTTATTTCTCGTCTATTCGGAAGTCTCGTCGTGCATCATTCTTTGATTTAAGGTCTCTATCCGCTGTATTGCTTTGCTGTATGTGTATGTTAGTAAAAACCTTGCGGTTTGCTTTCCTTGAACGTATGCGTTGAAACTGTAGAAAGGGTTATTAGGTGAGCGATATCGTCTCTTCTTCTTTGTATTTATCCTATACTTGGAGCAAATTTCTGTTCTTCACACGTACCACGTGAGTAGAATGTGAATAGAACGTGTGTGCGTGTGCGTGTGCGTGTGCGTGCCTATTACAGTTGAAACGTGTCAACATTTACAATTACTATAGGAGCATTTTATTTTTAGAACGAATGAATCTTTACGATTTAGTTACGTGTTAAGGATGTTGTCTAGTTGAGAATGATATAAAGCGTACATGGATTTTCTTATTGATTGTCTCTAATCACAGCCTTTGGAAAGTGGTGTGCCTATCCTTGAAATCGAGCTCGGTGCCTCGGGGTTCCCCATTTTCCTATGTTGAAACCTGTTTCCAGTTGACCGGTACAGCGAATCGGAGTCACAGATTGGGAACAGCGGTAGCGAGGACAATTGCAGCCTGGTGAATTCCCACGGGAGCACCGGGAACACGGCGACCAGCAACGGTAACAAGGAGTCCTCGGGGAAGAATCATTCCCTGACCGGCCAGTATAACCAAAACGGATCCCTGTCGTCCTCCAACGAAATGTCGGGCCAGTTCGCGAACGGGCACGCGAGCAACGGGAGCCTCGAGCACGTCTCCCTCAAAGAGAATACCGGCAAGGAGGCGTCGAAAAGCAAGGCTGCGAACAGCGCGAAAAAGAATAGCAATAAACGGTCCAGGAATAGGTAGAACCCCGCGGTATTGCCGGCAAACGCCGACAGTCGTTCGCGTCACGGGGATCAATCGAACGGACACCTTCTTCTTCGGATCACAGTTTCATTTTGCTCGCACGGTTTTACCGATCCGCCGATCGACGGATCGCGCTCTATTTTATATCGTAAACATCCCCACGAGCGTTGAACTTTCATGGAAGTGCGAGATCCTCTCGAGAAGGCTTTCCGTCCTTAATCCCCGAAGATTAAGGGATCAAGCGTTGCGGGTACGGGATCGAGTGAACCAGGAGCGGAGGGTACATATACCTGGCGATCGGCGCGCAGCTGTGTATCCAGCAAACGAACCTTTCTTTCTTTTACAATGTTTTCTTTGAACACACACGCTGTCAGTATCCTAAATTATTTCCGTGCTTCTGGTCGCGATCCGACGTGGTTCCTTTACTGGATACGGAGCTGATAGTCTCGGAATAGTTCCTGGCTTGCGCGGTTAGTAGCACGGTGTGAAATTTTCATCGGAATCGCGACAAATGAGAATCAAAAAGAGATGCGAAGTTTCCCTTGGTCCTTTATAGTCGAAACAACAGTATTCGTTATCCTTAAACTCGGAGTAACATAGCGGAAGTAGAGTCTCGATATTTTTTTCGACTCCTGCCACACTAGTACGTTCGACTTGTTTTCTTGGCAAATAGACAATCCGTTCTTAAGGGTTTAGAGTTAGTTGTGTTTTGTGATCGGTAACGTTAAATATTAATACGAGAGATACTAATTTCAACTAAATTCCAACTGTCCACGTTTCGATGAATTTTCCATTCTTTTGTAACACACACACAAACACACATACACACCTGTACAGTATCTAAATTGTAGTCGTAGCGTACGATTAAAATTTGACTGCACAAAGAACTACGTAATATTAGAATTACAATATTCCTTTGTAATCTTAAATATTAAAATCGTTCGATTTTATATGACAGTTTCTCGGCTCGTTTCAAATAAATCTCTGCTTTTCACTGTAATCTTTGTATCCTGAACGTGTCGCGTGGCAGCAGTGCATAAGTTTTCGTTACACGACCGTTTCAACTCGAAAGGAGAAAAAAAGACTATAAAAGTTTGAACGAATATTTGTCTTACGATCAGCGTACGCGAGTGAAGCGACGTTAATAAACTATTCGGAACGAAGCGAACCGATTTCGATGTGCCCGCTGCCGGATCTCCGCTTTTATCGGAGAAGAGGACAAACGTTGGAAAGTGTTTTCGACTTGGGATAAAATTTGTGGAAACTAAAAGGAGGATACGAGTTCTCGGAGCAACGGTAATTTATTTTTAACAGACACTCGTCGATATAACGCGAAACTCGTTGCTGGAATTTCCGCAACGAATAATAAACGGATTGTTGCGTTTGAAGGTTTTCGCAAGATAAAATGATAGGGAGAAGAAAGTAGAAGTGGCAAAGGTCCCGACAATTTTCAGCGACGGAAGAGTTTCGTTTACAACAACAGGTAATTATGGTCGTCCGATAATTGTAGAAAGTTATTCAGAAAAATAGAGATGCGTCTCCGATTGAACGAGAATCAAAGTGAAAAATAGGGCAACGGGAAACAGTGCTGTAGAATATTTGGATAATTTTAACGAGGGCGAGAGAAAATCATGCCCGGCAAGAAGGTTTTCAAATTAGTTTCCTGTTTGAAGGTTTTAGGTGGCTCGTTCCTCGTGACGACGGCGTTGAACCCGTTATCGTTGTCCGCCGTGTAAGTAACCGTTCTGATCGATCCGTCCGCTTCGACCACCGAATATTCACCCTTGACCGTGTCGCCGTCCCTTTCCTCCCAGGCCGACTTGGAGTCGCCGGTGTATCCATCCAGGACGCCGTAATTAAACGAGTACTTCGGGTAAGCCTGCGAAAGAAGCCGCGGAAATCGATCGATTCGAATGAAACCAAGAACGTTGATAATTCTGTACGCTCACCGTGAACTCCGTTTCTTTTTCATTGCTCGTGTCCGTCGCCACGACGGCGGACGCCGTCTTGAAGATGGCCGGCGCGATGTATACCAACGACGAGCTCTTCGGCAGCAGCCTGTAAGAAATCGGAGTGGACACTTTGACGTAAGTCGGATGCGGAGTCTTGCTTCCGGCGGACCGAAGGGCGCAGGCTACTGGAACCGCTGCACCGTCCACGGAAACCGAGTCTATCGGGGCGCAAGGGAACCTGCTGAGCATTCAATCTGAATTGTACTACCGTCGTACCAGATTATCTCATAGATTTTCTTGATTCGGATATCCGCTCGTTAACCCCTTGCCCTACAACAACGAGTGAGACTCGTGGTGAAGATTTTCAATATGATGCACCAAATATATATATATATATATATATTACTCGGTTCATTCGAATTCAAAGTAAATATTATTCCTCTGTGATCAACTATCATACTTCAAAGGAAATATAGGCATAACATAAGCTTAGAATTTTTCTCTTTTTCCAATAAATTATCAATAATAAAGCAGCCGTATCGATCAGAGTTGAGAAAGAAGTCATAGGGCAAGGGGTTAATCGGTCTTTCCGTTTTCTTAATTTCTCGATCGAGGTATATTGTATATCGTTAGTGTTTCCGTTTTCTCAAGTAACTCTCGTTTGACGAGTGTTAGTCACGGTAAAGGTTTAAAGAATTGTAATCTTACTGCTGGAGAACACCGGCGACGGTGAGGTCCATGAAACAGCAGACAATAATCATCTGTAAGTAGAATTGTAAGCTGTTCAGTAACGAAACGTTTAAATAACTAGACGCCTGTTTACGGATCTGGCCTCTAACGTCGCAAACTATATATCTGGAAGCGTTCGGTTTTTAAGGGAGAGTGCGAGTCGACTTGAAGATCTATCGCGCATGCGTGCACCGGATTCTCGTTGCACAATCCTCGCGCCGTTAGGGAGTGCCGGTATAAATTCTTAACTAACACACGTGCATTCGCAGACGGCTCGATCAGCGGTTCTCGAGCACACGTTGCTTCGCGATCCTTTGATTTCTTCCTATGCCATTTGAAGTTCATTTCAAACGTAGCGTTTTCTAATCCTGTAGAACCGAATTGAATTTCATTGGAAATTCACTTGAAATGTACCATAGAATCAAATTTAATTGAACTCGAACGAAACTCACAACTTGACAGTCGTTTTCTAATTACCGTGATTATGATCTGTCCAATTTTCCATTGTGCATCATCGGTCTAGCGTAATACAGGATTGATTCGAACTTTTCAGAATGATTGTAATCCCAAGAGGAAATTTAGTCACCTTAACGCGTGCACAGTCTATCTTCGTTTACGAGTAACGAAACGAAGTAATTAAATTCCGACGAACAGGAGAGAAGACATTTCCTACTTTAATTACGATACCAGTATATTAAGCAATCGTACTTTCAACGAGTAACCACGAAGGGCGGCAGTATAAAAAGCGATCGGTGCTGTTACAGACCGATTCGATTCACCTTCCATGCCTTTTATAATAACGCGACAGATATATAGAGTACACAAAGTTCTCAAAACTGTACATTCTCAATTTTAGTAGTATCGAAGAAACTCCCAGGATATATTATTCCTTCGCGATTTAGTTTTCTTTGGAAAAGTACAGTATCCTTCATCCCCTTAGGGGACATTAATAATAATAATAACAAAAGACACTAAACGATCTTTATCGTTGCATTCCGGATACGAGATGAAAATATAAAAATGATAGTTGATTGAAATATAATTAAATTCTACTAACCTTGTGAACGAAATGTTTGAAATACCTTGACCTCATTTTGTGGTAGGTATAAAAGAATCACGAATGATCGAAGCGGTACCAAAGATCCTTCGGCGTCACTCTCGGTGTTGTCACTTGTCTCTATGACTGCTTAAGGCGAATTACATTTTATCGTTGAACGGCGGTACGTTTCATCGATAATAATTAGGAATTTCTTTTTCCAGTTGTACGCATCTGCACACTGTTCCACGAGATTCGAAGGAAATAGGATTTCAAGTGCATCCAGCGAAACTTTCACGGCGGTCCTCCGAAGAATAGAACATCAGCATCCAGCTCATCTTTATATACGACTTATATAGGGTGCCCACACCTGTGTGCGTTTCAGTGATGGTTTCTCGGATTAAAATTCGATTAAACATCCAACAAATAATCTTAGGACCGACGAATGAAAGATTTTTCAAAGTAGACTCGGTATACATTTGTACTCGTTTTATTTATTTATTTATATACATATAAATGATACACGCGCGTATGCTAGGCTGTTAATTCGTTTAAATTGATATTTCAAAGTATCTTCCATTAGAAGATGGACTGTTTCCGATAGAAGGACATTGATTTTCGAACAGTTTTGTTTAAAAAGAATCGAACGTTTTGTCTAGAACTGGCCGTGCACTTGTTTCGATCTGTAATAAAACTCGCAACGGTACGATCCGTTCCGAGAGAATTCACCCGGTATAGAGGAGTACGTTCACTTGCATTTTTTGGGCCATTCTTGGTACATGCGACGAGGGATGCGCAACGTGCAGTCATGGGAACGTCATCGCTTACTGAAACTGATTTATCGAGACGTTCCGACAATGAGTCATCAAGTGGTAACGAGATTTGAAGGAATATCAATTTAAAAAGGAAATCGTAATTGTATCGTTTTCGCTGTAGCGTCGCAATGATTTCTATGGGACTCTCGTCTCGGTTAGACGAGCGATGTCTTAAGCTCCCTGCATTTCATTAGTTGTGCAATTACCACTTTTAAAGAACAATTCGAGAATTTAAACGCTATATTACATCACTTGTTCTGTCCATTATAGAAACTACGGTATCTCTGTGGTTCGAAAGTGGGGGCTATGCAAAGGAGTGTATATAATTAGAAAACTGAATACATATTAACTAAAATTTATTTAACTTATTTATTTATGTACATTAAGATAGTTCTTCCGCTTTCCTTTTTGCAATTTGAATATTTTCTTCCGTGACTGACGGTTCTACACCGCATTCTCTCTCTTCCTTTAAGATAAACGCTAACTTTTCAGCCTTCTCCCGATAAAATTCCTTCTGCTTAGCTTTCAACTCGGCCTTGTACGCATTTAGTTTATCTTGAACGAGTTTGTCACAATATTCCTGCGTTAATAGTCTAATCGAATCCTTTCTGCTCACCGTACCCAGTTGTCTATAATTTTTTAAACAAAAACGATCGGTTAAGCTGATTTTTCACCGAACAATACCGAATACCGTATAATTATTTATGAGAAACGAATACTGTACGCTGGATCCGGTTTGTACACAAGATTCAAACGCTCGAGAACCCATTCGAATCGTCTGTAGTCCCACTTGCGCAGGTGTCTGAGATACTTCTTCCTTCGCTCGACCAACTCTTTTAAGAAACGTTTAGTTTGCTTATTGTACGGATGTTCCTTCATGTATTCTTGAATGTAGAGTATCTCGCTTGTCATTGCCGCGACTGTAATAATTTATGTCTTTGCACAATTTCTTGAGAAATCTATATTCGGTTTAAAATAGTAACAATATACTTACTGGCAGATTCTGTGGAACCCCGATCCAACTCGTGCCGCTTTACCAGTGCCATTATTTTTTCTCTCTTTAGATTTCTAACTTCTCTGCGTGGATGAAACTCCAAAGAGAACATCTTCTTTACAAAATCATTTGCGCTTCATTGCGTGGACAGCGAATGAAATATTTATACTATATTAGATATCAAAATATTTGAAAGAAGATTGTTATTCCTTAAACTTCGTCTCTCGCAAGGTACTTACTCCTCCAATTCTTTTGAACGATCATAGTACAGTGGAATGTCTGTTGGTTTTACAGAAATATCTAATCCCAAATCACCGCTGTTAGTAGGACTGGTCGGTCCCACTCTTGCTGGTCTTTTCCAATTAATTTTATAGAATTCAATTGTTGTAACATTACGACTCACGTAACCTCCAAATTTGTACAGATTATTTGTTCTAGTACAACTCAACCTACAAATATTGCTTGCCAAATTCATCCTGATCAAGATCACTGGATATTGAAGTCAATTAATCCAAGTTCAGATGAAAAACTTATTGAAATATCTTTTATAAAATAACCGAACACCACGAACGGTGACACAGATGATACGCATTCGATACAAAACAAATCAGTGACCTCTACAGTTAAAAACCTCGCTTCTACGTAATCGTATATTACATACCGTCATATGGTACTTGGAGAATTTTAAACTGAACGAAATGGAATTTTGGAATTTATTTTTTAAAAATTGAGCGATGCATTTCTATGAATAGACATTTCAAATTTATATAATGGTTCAATCAATTGCTTCTTTATTGTTTACATGCTTCGTAGAAAATAAATTAGTAACTACTACTGTTGTTTCACCGTTAATTTAAATCATATATAATATTTGCGAGTTCGTTTTTAACAAAATATTTTTAAGCTGCTTAATATCAGTCCTTTCGGTAATCTATTTTCCAACCTTTCCTAGCTTAGTGTCTGTCTTAGGATTTGCAGTAATATTTTGTACACGAACAATAACTTCGTTAATTTTCGTTTGAAGATTTCTGATGTCCTGAATATAAAGGAGAGCAAGGATTTTAGCTGCGTTTTCGATAGAAGGTTTGCTCAGTTGAAAACCGGGGGCAATATCCATTATGGGGAATGGTTTCCCTTTAATAATTTTAGGGTTTGGATTTCGCAAACATTCAGCATTTAATCTCCTTTGGACCATTTTACTGCAGGCTTTCAGTGTAACCAAATGGTTAGGATGCTCCGGAATTCTAAGTAGTTTTGCCATGGAATATACTCCTTTCTTGAATTCAGTGCTGTCAACTGATTATTACAAACATTAACAAGAACCTATAAATGAGCATTTGAATGACTACACCGATATACTTACAATCTAAATTGTCAAGCGGATTTTTGGATTTAAGCTTTGGTACCATGGCTTCTTTTTTCACTTTTAGTTTCATTTCTTTTATATTTTCCGAATATTCCTCACCTAAATTATATTATGCGAAACTTTTAAAAGTTGATTCTTTTAATCACACACGTGAATTACTATATTCAATCCAATCCTTACTATTGTTTTCAGCTTCCAACCAGATCGCATATCCAAGTAACCACTCGAGCTGATCCAAGTTACTACTAGAAACTGGACATCCAACAGCTTCGCGATACTTTGCAAAAGTCTTCGGCCATGTGTCGCTCTTCAAATCACGTAACTCTTTTCGATCTTGTATGTCATACTGGCGTATCTTCTGATCTTCCAACCAGACAATTACTTTACGGAAATGTTGAGGGTCTGCAATATTTAAAGTGTACAGGTTTTAAACTTTATACCAAACGCTATTTCAATTTCCAAATTCTGCAATTGTAATAATAGGACGGTAGAAATTCAAAACAATATTCCTCTGAAAAAACATACCTTTAACGTTTATTTTATTCCATTCCATATAACCTAAAGCTTCAAGTCTTCTTTTAAACATTATCGTACCTATCAATCACTAGACGTATTTTAAATGAAAAATACAATTCAAAATTTCGATAAAGCTATCAGTTCTTTTAAAATCAGAAGTACATCACACAATTATCATAGCAGACAAATTCCTAAGCAACTATCAAATTACGCACGGAAATCGGTATCACCATCTACAGGTAAAACACGCAAACTACAAATAACATATAACATTGTATCTACAGAGAGACAGGGAAAAACTATATAAGTACTCGCAAATTAGAATTCTTTAATTCATAACATTCGGGACACTCCATGCACTCAGAATTATAAAGAAAGTATATAATTATAACTAAATATTACATAATAAGGAATATAATTTATAATTAAATAATTTACATCTGTTTTGTACTACACATGTCAATGTAAACAAATGAGATTAAAAAATAAATGAAATAACATTTTGTAACAGCTTGCCTCTTTATTTCCCCCCAGCATTCGCGTTCAATGACTTGACAAGGAGCACGAGGAATTTCTCATTCCGACTCCGGCAGTCACTCGCGACACTTCGATGGATTTCTCACACCAATTCAGGGGTCTCTCGTGGGGGTTTCTCGCGAAGATTTAAGGGAATCCTCACACCGATTACAGAAGTCTCTCGCGACAGTTCAAAGGACTTCTCACACCGATAGAGAAGAAGATTGAGAGGTTTCTCAGACTAACTACGGAGGCTTCGAAATCTCGAAAGCCCTTGACTCCGGATGCTCAAACTAAACAAGCACAAACCTTAACACCGTTTGGACCTTAAACTCCCCAAAAATGGCTCCAAAGCTCCAACCACACAGGCTCAAACTAAAAAAGCTCAAAAATTAATTCCCTACGCAGTTAAGCTCTCCCAAAAGTGGCTCAAATGCTCAAACACCTCGAGCTCAAACTAAAAGAGCTCAAAATTTAACTCGCTAGGAAATAGAGCTTTTGAGCCCATTCTGTGGGAGCTTAATTTCGTAGAGGGTTAAAATTTGAGCATTTTTAGTTTGAGCCTGTGTTGTTGGAGCAACACCTCGAGCTCAAAATGAAAAGGCTCGAATTTTATCTCTCTAGGAAATTAAGCTCTTCCAAAAAGGGCTCAAATGCTCTAACACCTCCAGCTCAAACTAAAAAAACTAAAAAATTAACTCGCTATGAAATTGAGCTCTCTCAAAAATGAGGGAGATCGAGGAGACAGAAATGATGCGCTTGAAAATTGGCGCCACGAAATTGTTTTCGGATACCTCTATGAGTATCATGTTCTCCTAGTAAGAAACTCGGATTTTCGAGTTTCCTTTCAAATTTCGCGCCTCTGGAATGTTTTCATTTTTCGGATACCTCCTTTAGTATCATGTTCTCCTGGTAAGAAATGCGGATTCTGAGATCCGTCTGAAATTTCCCGCCTTTTGGTTTGTTTACATTTTTCGGATACCTCCTTTGACATCATGTTCTCCTAATAGAAAACTCAGAACTTCGTGTTCCATTTCAAATTTCGCGGCTCGGAGAGTCTTTTTTACTAGGAGAACATGATAGTATAGGAGGTATTCGAGAATTTCCTGCCTTTTTGGATTGTTTACAACTTTTCGGGGACCTCTTTCACTATCATATTCTCCTAGTACGAAATCTCTTCAAACCGCGAAATTTGAAATGGAACGCGAAATTCTGAGTTTTCTATTAGGAGAACATAATGTCAAAGGAGGTATCCGAAAAGTTGTAAACAATCCAAAAAGGCAGGAAATTCTCGAATACCTCCTATACTATCATGTTCTCCTAATAAAAAAGACTCTCCGAGCCGCAAAATTTGAAATGGAACACGAAGTTCTGAGTTTTCTATTAGGAGAACATGATGTCAAAGGAGGTTTCCGAAAAATGTAAACAAACCAAAAGGCGGGAAATTTCAGACGGATCTCAGAATCCGCGTTTCTTACCAGGAGAACATGATACTAAACGAGATATCCGAAAAATATAAACATTCCAGAGGCGGGGAATTTGAAGAGGATCTCGGAAATTCGAGTGTCTTGCTGGAAGAGCATGATAATAAAGAAGTTTCGCGACTCAGAGAATTTTATTATTTTTCGGATACCTCCTTTACCATTATTTTCCTCTGCTAGGTACGATGAAATAAAAAACACAAGCTTTACAATATTAATCTATTTGTTTCTTTTCATTCATTTGTTAACATTGACATGTGTAGTACAAAAACGTTGTGAATAATTTAATTATGAATTATAAACTCCCATGGAATCCTTGCTGGAATTCTACAAGATTCCTTGGCACTCCGGCACGCCAAACTGTAGCTAAAGCACACCAGTTTAACGTTGGTATACTGCAAATAAACGTAAACAATGTTAAACACAAGCAAAGACTGTATGAGGGCATTGATTACAATTTTAAATTACCTGGAATACCAGTACAATCAGCGCCATCTATGATAAAACCCTTAAGCTACTGGAGAAATAGTATAGCCAAACCACGGTTAGATGGCGCCGAATGTATCGCTATCCTCGTCGCACAGTATCTCTTTCCTTGTCTCGTAGAATCTGCGCCATCTACAATAGAACGACCAAGCTGGTCGCCAAATAGTACAGATATACACTCGCTAGATGGGGGCCGCATACAGGAGCGCCATCTACAATTGAACGTCCAAGCTGGTCGCCAAATAGTACAACTGCCCTCTCGCTAGATGGCCGGCCATAAGGTTGGTCTGCGCCATCTACAATCAGACGTCCAAGCTGCTCGCCAAAAGTATCCCGAACTTCCCATCGGTCAGCCGGATGTAGCCTTGGTCCCTATGAGACATCGTCCTGGAGTCCCATCACTGCTAAGTCAAATGGCTACCCCCGACCTTCCTAGCAATTCTGCCTGACGGAATCCAAGTTTTGAACTTTGGAAACCTGGATTGTATAGTCTAAAGTCAATTTCGACCAAAAGTATC